TCTCAGGCTGTTTCCATTTTGGCATTAATATTTTAACTGCACATTACCTACAACCATATATGAAACAACATGGCCTGAATGCTGAGAAAGTGAATCATATTTGTAGAATACTAAATGAGAATTTTGTGAACTTGTGAATAAAATATATGGATGTGTGATGGTGCTCTTGTCCGCAGGATTGTGTGTTTGTACATGCTTGTATATGTGTATATGTGCTATTGGTGGGCGTGTGGTTGAGTTGGTGAGTAGATATGTGTTTAAGGGGGCCGTGCCATTGCAGCAGTCCATCCTACAGTTTATGGCCATTTCTTTGTAATCTAACACTGGTTCCTGGTATTTACTCTGCCAGTAAAAGTGAGTTAACTTATCAATGAGGGATGCAACATGATGATTTACGGTATGTTCCATTTCCTTTTTTGGACTATCAGTCCAGTCTCGTTGCCCAGGACAGGAAACCTGAAAGCACAAAATGCTGGCATAATATGAAAACAAAGTAAGACAATTCACATTGTTGTAGGACAGCTGTTCATTCACGCAAGGGGCTTGGTAGTAAAAGAGATCTGTAGTTACCTCTGATTCGCTGTGGACCATACAATGTATTCAGCACCAAATCTGAAGTGGACAGTAAATGTCACTGGTGGTTGCCAAATTCAACAACACTGTCCCCTCAGGAGAGATTGTCTGTTTCTTATGTCGGCATTTGTTCAAACACATACACAAAACAAGCTTTGATTGACTGTAGAATTGAATCAAAACCCAGTGCAGGATTCTTCACAGCTTAGTCTTAGTTGTCAGTGTTACATATAAGCAAGGCAGTCTTTGGGTTCAGGGCAGGGCATATAGCAGATAAAAAGCATTTATGAAAGATAATTAAGTTAAGGATCTAATGAAAATAATAATCTAAGTACTACTGGGTTTCTTGCTTCCTTGAACTTTTATTTCTACTCATCTGTATCTCTTTTATCACCTCATAGCAAGAAGGTTCTGGGTTCAAATCCTAGCCGGGGCTCTTCTGTATGGAGTTTGTATGTTCTCCCCATCCTTGCATGGGTTTTCCCTGGGCACTCTTTCTGATGACTCCCACTTCTACAAGACAAGCAGCATAGATGATGGATGGATGCCTCTCATCTATTTCTCTCTCCATTTCCAACCCCCTTCTTTCTTTATTCTGAAGCCACTTTTCTGTGTGAAAACAGCTGAGCTGAATGTCTGTGTTCCATATTCAGTCATTAAAATAGACGTCCTGCAGTGTAAATTCCTGATACTGCAATATAGGAATAACACAGCAGAGGAACGATAAAGCATATAATTGATATATACAGTATATATAATATACCATATATATAATATACTGTACATGTTATAATAATATATTGTATATGGGGCCACATGTGTCTTCCTCAACCTTGGGTCCTCAGCCAGAGACCTGGAGGGTTAGCACTGCTCTCTTCTGGACGGAACACTCTGATGTTGTTCCTGGAGTCACTCTTCCAATTTAAATGGACTGTATTTTATATAGCGCTTTACAGAAGATCATACACCATTCACACACCGATGACAACAGGCTACCATGCACTGGCACTAGTCAAACCACCGGGAGCAATTCAGGGTTCAGTGTCTTGCTCAGGGACACTTAGGCATGCGGGGGAGACCAGGAGTCAAACCACCAACTTACTGGTCAGGAGACGACTGCCCTACCTCGTGAGCCACAGCCATTCCCAACATTTAACAAACACACTATTGCCCAACAATCGCATTTGGCAGAAATGAATGTCACAACACAAGAGCATACACACTTGGCAACAGTTATGGGACAAATATACTGAGGAGGATTTTAAGATGTCATTTGGAGAGTGTTTTTTTTTTTTTTTGTTTTTTTTTTTTTTTTTTGATAGGTGGTTTCTTGATTCTGGGCTGGACACTGTTCATACTTGAATGTTAACAGGGGGGTCTTCCAATTTAGAGGTCACAGCTCCAAGTGCTCCTACAGTACCACCACTGGGACCACTTTGGCCTTCACCTTCCACATCCTCTCCAGTTCCTCTTTCAGACCCTTGTACCTCTCCAGCTTCTCATAGTCCTTCTTCTTGATGTTGCTGTCATTTGGCACTGCTATGTCTATCACCACTACCTCCTTATGTTCCTTATCTACTACTGTGATGACTGGTTGGTCGCCCGACTAACCATGTGAAGTGGTACGAGGATACTGTCTGCTCCTAAATGCAAATTACAAGTGTTAATTCCACATGAGAGAATGAACACATCTGCAGTGTTTGTATCAGTCTCTGCCATCATATTTAATTTAACTTTCACATGAATTTGAATAGCTGCCCTAGAGTCAAATCAGCTCAGAGTGGACAAAAAACCCTTATTCATCAAAAAAGTAATTGTCACAGAGAAATAATAATACTGGTAAATTTGGAGAATAATACATGTTTTGTTTTGTTTTTAATTTGAGATGCAGAATGAACTGATTGTATTTAGTGGAACAACTGTATAGTTTGGAGGAAAATTAGTCTGGGGTCCCATTCAAGAGATAGTTGGTTTTTCATATTTCGAGCTTGAAATATCACACAAGCAAGTATTTATTATTAGGGTACAAGAAAAGGGACATTTATCATTTTTATTTAGTGTTGCAGCCAGTTTCACTGAGCCAGTGTCTGTTTATTTTATACCTGTCATGGTTTGTTGTTTCTTTGAACATTTTAAATTTAAAACTAGTGTAAATGGCAGATCACAGCATCTGAGCAATGTGTGAATAGAGCATTATAAGGGCATCTGTATAAAACACAGGTCTATGTAAAGCAAGGATCCACATGATACATATTATAATTCTGCTGCAGGGAGACAAATGTGTGTTGATTATGTAAGTGGCCTAATAAAATATGTTCTCTGTTTATAATTGTAATACAGTTCTGGAATTATTTTAAGCATTATAAGGTCATAAAAAAGACTCTGGTGTACCCAGGTTATAATGTTACACAAGCTCAGCAGATCATCATGAGCACACGGGGAAAGGAAAGTGATTTGTCTGCGCACTGGATACCTGGCTTAATACATCAGTTTTATACTTGTGGGTAATGTGCTTTTGGGCCTTGTTAGAATAAATTTGCATATTTTTATGATATTAAAATAACGACAGATTTGAGATTTACTTGAATGATGTAATATCTAATACTGATATTCAATCTGTGGTAGTCAGTCTTTATTCAGATCGTTCAGTATTGATACTCAGTATTAAATGAC